CTTTCTGCAAGCCCCCTTCCCCCTCATGCCCCCTTCCCTCCCTGCTTCCTGCCACTCCCCCCTCGCGCCCTCCCCCCTTCCGACCACCCCCCCTCTTCCGACACCCCCTCCCCCCTTACTTCCCTCCCCCTCCCCCCCTTCGGCAGCCCCCTCCCCTATTCCTCCCCGCCCCCGAACCCCTTCCCTCCCTCCCTCCTCGCCCCCTCCCCTCCCCCCTCGATAGCCCCCTCATTTCTCCTGTCCCCCCTCGCGCATGCCCTCCCGAACCCCACCCCCGCAGCCCCCTCTTCCCTCCCCCCCCTCCCCTCCCCTCTCGGCAGCCCCTCCCCCTCCGCACAGTGTCCGTTCTTTTATTTGCCTAAAAGGTATGTTTTTTCTACCGAGCTTTAGAATTTTTAAATTATTATTATTTATTGTTGAATTTAGTTTAGAAACCCTAATTTATGATAAAAAATAAACGAGTTCAATTCTGAAAACCCTAACTTAACTACATGTTAATTCATTTAAACAACACCAGTAATCATATTTTGTTTAAACACTTATAAACCCTAACTCATTTAAGTTTCATTCGTGCTATAAGTATGTGTGATTATTGTGACGTCCCTGGGTTCACACAAGGCTGCAGTCCGAGGTGAAACCAGAGATGTCAAATCTGTCATGCACCACACCGTGCAATAATATGTTTCACCATCACAATTACTATCTCTCTAGTGGAATCAACAACATGTGTAGTACAAAGCAAATAAAAGATTATACAAGAATTAACTGATGAAGTAATAGAGATCAAATTAATATTTTGACATTCTAAAATACTGGAATACAAGTAAATGTCTGAAATATATGAACTGGAGTTCTCAATAAGTCTCAAATACATAATGTCTGACAAGAGGAAATAAGGCACACAACCTTTACAACTTCTAGAATAAGATTCTCACATGTCTATATAAAAATCTACAGTGGAGCTCAAAAGGAAATATAACTAAATAGACGGCTGAAGCTAAAGTACATCGCCATCAACCTGCGATTCTCCGGGCTCCTGGCTCGTTACCTGAAAGGGGGAGGGACAACGAGCGTCAAAGCGCTAGCGAGCAACATCACAACCAACCCCAAGTGATAGGGCTCGTTGTACATGAAAAATACAATTAATACATAATAATATAAATCATTTACATAAACATTAATGGGTTTTAGTACTTAGGGAAATACAACACGAGCATAGGTACGTCGAGTGAAATAATCCAAACAAGGAAACCCTCATGTATATACCTTGTATCTCAAATTGTAGATCCCTAAATATTAAACCCGAGGTTGGTCACAAGAAACAAATAAAGAAAAGAATACATACCCATCTATACCGATGAAAAGTAAACATGACAAAGCTACAATAGATGTCATGTACAACCTAAGTAGCTATCATGCCCCGGCCTAATACAATATGTCGTGAACCCAACTGGGATAAGTAACATGCTCAAAGTTTATCAAAAGTCTAAAACATGACTGTAATGGATTATAGTCCAACACGAGGACTTTAATGGATTATAGTCCAACACGAGGACTTTAATGGATTATAGTCCAACACGAGGACTTTAATGGATTATAGTCCAACACGAGGACTTTAATGGATTATAGTCCAACACGAGGACTTTAATGGATTATAGTCCAACACGAGGACTTTAATAGATTATAGTCCAACACGAGGACTTTAATGGATTATAGTCATAAACCGTCGCTAAAATTTAGCGACGACATTTCCGTCGCCAAAAGTCTTTTTAGGCACCCCTATTATAGCGTCGAAAATTTAGCGACGGAATTTTAATTTTTCCGTCGCTAAATCGTTTAGCGACGGAATATCAACTTATAGCGACGGATTTGTCCGTCGCTAAAAGTTGAAAATCCAGCAGTGTGATGAGTCGACTCGTGATGAGTCGTGAGTCGACTTACGGGCTGAAATCTGCATATATCACAAGTTAAATTCGCCAAATCGATCCATCCTTCCATTACACTGATCTACATCTTTATAGCTATCAATTCTAGACTATGATACAGTGAGAAAAACATATTTATCATGAGAAACGATTCTCTTGTAGGTTAAAACTCATATTTAACTCCTATACAAGAAAGAAAGCATTAAATCAAAATAAAACTCATATTTTTATTCTTTAAATAAAAGTCCAGATCTGGGTTTTTATCAAAAACTCGTTAGTGAGGTTTTCAAATCTGAAACACATGATTTCTTGCATTCACCCTAATAAGAGCATAAATTTATACTTGAAAATAAGTCTTAGGCTCCATAAAACTCGTGAAAAACGTTTGTAAGCTTTTAAAAACATGGGAGAGGATTGGGCGAGATGTTACTCGCCTGAGGGGGTATTGTAGAACTCCTGAACACGCGTGAGCATGCTCCTCCTTCGATAGAATCGCTCCAAATCCCGCTGAAACCCTTCGAGACTCCTCAAAAATCACCAAGAACGGATCTAGGGTTTGGGAGAGAAGAGGGGGGGGGGGCTGCTAGGGTTTGTAAAACAGAAGAAAATAAGTGATTTTCTTGATATAACATGTATATATATAGCAGCAAACCCGAAACCCAAAACCCGAAACCCGAAACTAGAAATTCAGTCTGACTAGGAACATTCTCTTCGGTATTTTGGTTATAACTTTCTCATACGATCTCGGAATAAGGTGATCTAAGATTTGTTGGAAATCTCTTGAAGAGTCCTACAACGTTGCTATTATACACATTTCCAGATTCGTAATGAATCAGTGTAAAAACATATAAACTCTCAACTGGTCAAAATTCCCATATTTTCACTCTTGGCCTTTGTGCATGTTTTGTTT